GGCCCTCACCCTCCCGCAGGTTCCTGCAAGAAGGAGCTGTGACAGGCCCCCCCTCCCCACTCTGCACTGCACCCCTCTCCTGGGAGGACGCCCCACCTCTCAGAGGGAACAGGGCGGGGCGGGCCGAGGCGTCCTGTGAATTCAGCCCCTGCACCCGGCAGGCCCGTGCCCAGGGGAGGTACGACAGCTCCCTGCCCAGAGCCTGGGGCCCCTGACCAGGCACCTGTCCGCTGGGAGGCCCACCCCGACCTTTGTCAGAATAAAACGAGACTTGAAGGGCTGCCGTGTCTGTGGCTGGATTGTGGGGGGGCGGTTGTGTGCTGGCCGGTGGGAGGGAAGGGGGTGGCCACAGGGCGGGGGGTGGGGGCTCCAGCCCACTGGGCCCACCCAGGTGGGGTCTCAGTCCCCCTCCAAAAGGGGCTGGAGCAGTGGCTTCTGGGAAAGTGACACAGGCCAGAGACCCTGCCTCCTGGTGACAAGGTGGCCCACCCCTCGCCAGTGGCCAGAGAGCAACCCTCAGCCTCCTTCCCCAGTGCCTGCCAGGCATCGGGGCACCGCTGCCCCCTTCAACTGTGGCCCAGCCCTGGAAGGTTGGGGGTTGGAGGGCTCCCACCCCAGGCCCCGGGCAGGAGGCCCGTGCACCGCCCGGCTGGGCCCTCCTGTGGCCCCGAGGCAGCCCTGCCCATCCTCTGAGTGACCACAGCTCACCAGGCACTTGCAAGAGTCCATTTATAAAAACCCCGTGCACCCCTGCTGGCGGTTCCATGGTTAGCGCGCCCGCCCTCGGATGGAAGCATCCCAGGTTCGGGTCCCGGTCAAGGGCAGGCACCTCGGTGACAGGCTCACCTCGCAGCCCGGGTTGGGGGCGTGTGGGGGTCGGGGGCGTGTGGGAGGCAACCGGCCGCCGTTTCTCTGTCACTGCCCCTCCCTCCCACTCTCTGAAAATCAATGGGAAGAATATCCTGGGAGGATTAACCACACAGAAAAGCCGCGTGCAGTTCTGACTCAGTGTTCGCTCCCCACGGCCTCTCCCCAGCCTGATGCAGGCGGGGGGCGTCCGTGCGGGCCCTGTGGGGGGGCCCTGCCCTCA